GCCTGTACCCAACTGCACGCCCCAGTCCCTTCGTCTCCCAGCCCATATTTAACGGTACAAGACGCAGGTACAGGGTCCTCCTGCTGCTCCACTGCCGTTAAAGGTCCCTAAACTCATCGAATAGCCATTCCCAAGTAAACTGGCCCACTTTTTTCCACAATCGTGTCGTTCACAATCAGTATGATGTACGCGTAGCTTGGTATTCCGATAGCGCTTACCGTGCGTGTGCACATTATGTTCTTCAGGAACAACTGTAAAGTTTGCTGGATAACCGTACCGGCTTGGACAAAGATCCCATGCTTACTTTGGTAGGAAGCAAAAATCAGGAGACTTTTTGCGATTCTAATATTCTGAAGGATATATCTGCGTTTTCTGCGTCTGGCGTCGTGACATTGTGTGTAAAAATGAGCTTCTTTAGTTGGGCGCCCAATTTCAAGCTTGGAGGTGAAATTTCTGCTAATTCCTCATAATACGTCATATAAACCTCATTTTTTCATGGTACTGTTTTGTCTAAGATTCCACCAATTAATCCTCGCAATGCCTGTTGGATGTTTTATTTCCAATAGTAAAATTTCCGTCATTGTCTTGCATCCCCTTACGCAGTAAGCACTGCTTCTAGATGCTTTATTCCGTATTTCCTTTTCTGATCCCTTCCACTTCCTACGAATACTACACCCAATCACCGAATTGTCACGTTAAGAGTCTATCTTTGATGCTGTCCTGTTATTAACAGATCCGCGGCACAAAGCCGCATGCGTTTTTTTCCCGGGAATACCCGTTCTTGGACCTTGACTGAATGAGTTAAAAATAACAAGTTTCCTTTCCATCATTTCTTGACACTTCTGTCAACTGTCACCTGTTTTCTGGGGTTTCAGCTCTCTATACGTTTATTAAAAGCAGCTAAACCTTTCGTGCCTTCCTCATTCGCCACTCGCTCCCCCCACACTAGCTCATGCAATTCAAGTCCCATAACCATCCCGTGGCTGGATTCACGCGCCGCTGCGTCCTCACAATTGATCCCGTTAGTTCCAAGGGTGCGCCTGGCTCACCCCGTGTCCTTCCCAGTAATCTGCTGCCCTCGGCTCGTAAGATTATCCACCTCTCCATCTGGTGCCTTCCTCTTCTGAAATCCACGGGAAACACGGATCCAGCACTTCCCTCGCTCTCAGAGGCCATCGTAGCTGCCGTGACAGCATGTGGAACTGTTTACGTGAGTTTTTTTACGCTCCTTTGGAATTTTGCTGCACTGAACCAAAACTGGATTCAACGGGCTCACAGAACGCGCGCTTATTAGGCTGCGTCGAGTTGGCGCAAGCTCCTAACGTTGGGGGACTAAACAGCTGTGTTATGGGAACCATACCTGCAAGCTCTACGCATTAGTTGGCTGCGCCTAGGTTGGTGTAACTCACCGGGCATACCGCGCTAAGAACTGCCTGCTGCTCCAACACAGCAACCGTCGGCGAATTAGCGCATATGGCCTTCGACTTTGCGTGGGTGAACTCTAAGGTTCAACAGTGGGAGTGTCGGTGAATAAACACCAACAATGAGTGCGTTTCGTCTGACGTTTAGTTTTTTAGAACTCCCATAGTTGCACCACCAACAAAGTACATGTTATTTTTGTCTTGTACTCAAAATCATACTGGTTAGCGCGTTCAACTGGTATATGCATCCCCCTGTCAGGTTGCTGTTCTTAGGGCTGTCCAACAGCCGGTCGCGAATGGGTTGTGGTACGGCAATTATTAAACTCCCACAAAATAGCAACATGGAGACTTTATTCCGAATGATAGTTTTTGGCTTGAGAGCCTCAGGTTGTATGCACCTGGATTTGAATTATGACTGGTTCACGTAGTACAATGACCATGATTGTGTTTAGGTATAGCTGAAATACAGCCATCGGCCCCCACGAAATGCAAGTTTAAAGGGTTTTTGCTTACACCCACTAGGTGGGCATCTGCATTTGCGGTTATAGACCTCCAAAATGATACTTTTGACAGTATATTCGTTATATTTCCATCTCTGGACTACAACGGTTTAGCTGTCGTTTGGCTACCCACCACACCGTATATATTTGCTTGGTAGTGACAGCTTGCAAAAAAGCCACGGGGATAAAAGCGTAGTAGTTTTATATAGCGACACAACGAAATTCTTCTAGTATATATTTATTCATGAGATGAAATGCAAAGCTTGGGAATGTGCTCGATACTGCGGGGGTAATTATTGTTGGTTAATTCTACAGGTGCTGCTCTTGCAACCCGCAACACCGACGTTGAAGTGTTGTAGAAGGTTTCTACCTGTGGTACATCGTAGCTCAGGAGGTTAGGACGTTGGCTGCAATCAGGTCTTGCTCTTACTGTCATGTGTATGATACCTACCGAAGTGGGGTCAAGTTAGATTATTTTCCTCATCT